GAGATAAGAGTTTCAAGAACTTTCCTGTCTGGTCTGGCTTTGAACTCCAATCCTCAGATCTCAGCCTCTTGAGTAGCTAGGATTACAGTTGTGAGCCATTAGCACCTGACTTGGATATGCTTTTATTCAGCAGATTCCCATTTACTGTTTTTTCCACTAATGCTTCCTAACTCCGAAATATCTGGCTGCCAGTCTATCTGGACCAGTTTAGAAAAATGCTGTTCCCTTCCCACCAATCCTTTGTGTGTATCCTGGAGCACTTGAAATCCAGGTAGGACACATATATATGTGCGTGTGTGTGTGCATGTGCGTGTGTACACACATCCACACACACACATGCAGGCACACACACACACACACATATACATTATCCTGTTCCTCCTGCCCTTCACTTTTTTATCCCTTATACAAAGATGCATTTTCCTTCTTGGGCTGTTCTTCAGGCTCATTCTCTTCCAACTCTATTATAAAGCTCTATTCTCTGGAAATCCCTCTTTAATTTATCCTGGACATAGGTTTCCCTCTCCTGTTGAACCTTGGATCTCTATCTGGGCCTCTCAGACATTTTAGTCTTTATACTGCAATTGAGGAGAAAGAAAAAAAAGAGATGTAAATGGCTGAATGGATGAAAGGGTTCCAAAACCCCCTGGGACAGGTTGGACTGGCTCAGAGATGGGCTAGCAATGATGGGAATCTCCAGAAGAGTTCGAGTATTCCCCTTTGCCTCTTCAGAGGATTGCTTTGGCACCCACTAAACATTTATATTACTTGTATTAATTGCAAACTACTTACATAGGCTAGAAGCTGAGGATTCCGACATAAAGAAGGTAAGGGGAAGTGGGATGATTTGTGGAGAATTGATCCTCAAATCACTGAGGGTCTTACTGGAAATATAAGACCCAACCAAGATATGCAACAATATAAAACGTAACACAAAAATGTGAATGAATTCAGAGAAAGGCACGAACTCAGCTTGCCAGGTAGGTGGGGAAAGATGTGTGGAAGAATCTGACAAGGATTTCCTCTTTATGAGCTGAAAGGTTGAAGACCTAGGAAAGACATCTGAAAACCATTTATGCCTTACCTTGACTTCCCCTTATCTCAATCCAGGCCCTAAGATAGGAACTTGCCAGAAGGTTGTGGGGAAGGTGATCCTACCAGCTAGCTGAATCACAGTATATTTGCAGGACAGGAAATGGCAGATGGGTGCACAAGTCTTGGGGCATAGAGTACCCCAGGAAGTCTTTGAGGAAGAAACAATCCTATGACTGTGAACATACTTCATCAGGACATGTGGGAGGGTGTGTGGGGACAGATGATATAAAACAGATTGGAGACCAGCTGAGGTGACACAAAATTCACATCAGGCCCACATTAGACTCAGGCCTTGTGATGCCATGGTCACTGGTCTTGCTCTCTGTATCTTCCTATGTGTTAAAGAGCGGAGCCCGGTGGCTCACACCTGTAATCCTAGCTACTCAGGAGGCTGAGATCTGAGGATCGAGGTTCAAAGCCAGCCCAGGCAGGAAAGTCCGTGAAACTCTTATCTCCAATAAGCCACCAGAAAACTGGGTGGTGCTGTAGCTCAAGTGGTAGAGATCTAGCCTTGAGCTAAAGAGCAGAGGGACAGTGCTCAGGCTGAGTTCAAGCCCATGACCATCCCCCCACCCCCCAAAAAAAAAACTATCTGTAGAGGAGCCACATACTTCTACATGGTGATGATATCCAGCAGTAGCAGCAGCAGCATAATGGTTTTAACCCTTTTATGTTGTTCTCTGCTTAGGCCTACTATCTTTGTTTTTCAAACTTTAGCAGAAATGGTTCAGGCCACGTCCCTCTTTCCACTCCTTCTTAAAAGGATCTCAGTTAGGCTGGGAATGTGGCTTAGTGGTAGAGTGCTTGCCTAGCATGGGTGAAGCCCTGAGTTCAATTCCCCAGTACCACATACACAGAAAAAGCTGAAAGTGGCTGTGGCTCAAGTGGTAGAGCACTAGCCTTGATCAGAAGCAGCTCAGGGACAGTGTCCAGGCCCTAAGTTCAAGCCCCAGGACTGGCAAAAAAAAAAAAAAATAATAGAGGGGGAGGCTGGGAAGGGAGGTGAAGGGTAAACAAAGGAGGAGGCTGCAATGCTTTGTAAGAAATGTATGCATTATCCTGCTCATGTAATTGTAACCCCTCTGTACAGTATGTTCACAAATAAAATAAAATTAAAAAAAATAATCCTCTTCTCATTCAGAGGCCAAGCATACTTCCAGGGATTTTCTCTTAGCCAATTCTCCATCCCAAGTGCCTGCCATTTGCTTCAGATATCTGCCCTAAGTATTAAGGCAGAAGGGAGGAAAAGTAGAGTTTAAGATCTGAGCCAGGGGCTGGGAATGTGGCTTGGTGGTAAAGGAGGAAATGTAAACCTAGGTAGAAAGTAACCCAAAGAAAGTAACCCAAGGCTGGGAAGGTGGCTCAGTGGTAGAGTGCTTGCCTTGCATGCATGAGGCCCTGGGTTCGATTCCTCAGGACCACATAAACAGAAAAAGCCAGAAGTGGCACTGTGGCTCAAGTGGTAGAGTGCTAGCCTTGAGCTTAAGAGCTGAGTGACAGTACCCAGGCCCAGAGTTCAGGCTCCACGACCGACAAAAAAGAAAAGAAGGGCTCTGGGAAGGTGGCTGAGTGGTAGAACACTTGCCTTGCATGCGTGAGGCTCTGGGTTCATTCCTCAGCACCACATAAGCAAAAAGAAAAAAGCTGGAAGTGGTGCTGTGGCTCAAGTGGTAGAGCGCTAGCCTTGAGCTGAAGAGCTGAGGGACAG